TTTCTAACTTTTCAACTGGACGTCCAAATCACGTCAAACCAATTCCGATTCTAACCAAATTTCACAGATAGGACTTAAATATCATAACAAACTTGTACCAGGTTCCAGAACAGAAATACAGGCCCGATACCAATGAGTTTAAACATTAATTCATTTATTGATTTCCTTTAAAAACCAGCACAATAATTTTCTTCAAAAATTATTTTCTAAGGCTAGGGACCTCGGAATTCAATTCTGCACATACGCCAAAGTCCCATGTTTTACAGCGGACCTCCCGGGATCATCGAAATATAGATCCGGGTCCATTTACCAAAAACATTTACCAAAATTTAACTCTAGAAATTACAATATTTTTCATATTTTCACATAAAAGCTTTCCGGTTTCACGCCCGCACTGCGCACGCAAGTCGATACACGTAATATGAAGCTACTCGTGACCTCAAACTACCAAACCGGATGCCATTTCTCAAAATGACCAGTTGGGTCATTACAACAGGGTTCTTAGACAGGGACACATTTGTCTTCACTGTCCATATACAGACCACATCATAGACAGGGTAATAGGAGACCATCATCTTCTAGACATCATAATTCTGGGCCGATATATGCCACTACTCTAGTCTGCCATACCTGTGGTAGATCACATTTGGGCCAATGTCATGTTCTAACTAGAGAGTGCTTTCGGTGTGGCTGGTTGGGACATCACTTGGGATTGCCCTCACCCTCCGAGAAATTTCAACCAGGCTTCTATTCAGTCAACTACACCTACTCAGACTACTCGTAATACTTCAGGTGCTACAGGTACACGAAATAGAGGTCGAGGTGCTGGAGACCGTGCTACTGTGAATCAAGGACAAGGGAATGCTGGTAGAGGTCAGGCGAGAGTTTTTGCAGTTAATAGACAGGATACTCAAGCCTCAATGTTGTGGTTACAGGTATTCTTTCTGTCTTTTCATTTGATGCATTTGCGTTGATTGATCTAGGATCTACTCACTCCTATGTGTCTCGTACTTTACTTTGAGGTTTAGTAGATAGCCTGAGCTATTGAATGATCCTTTTCTAGTTGCTACTCCTGTTGGAGAGTCTCTATTAGCTGAATACTGTATCGTGCTTGTCAGACTCGAGTTGAGGGTAGAGATACTCTAGCTGACCCTATTGTACCGGATATGATTGACTTTGACATGCTGATGGGAATGGATTGGTTATCTTCTTGCTATGCTATAGTCGATTGTCATGCAAAGATAGCAGAGTTTGAGATACCAAATGAACACAGTTTTATTCTAAGAGGGAGTCAGGTTCTAGAGACTTGGAAAATTGAATCTTTTATAAAGGCGTAACGACTTATGAAGAAAGCTTGCTTGGGTCTCTTAGCTATTGTAGATAACACAAGAAAGGAAACAGTTAGTATACAAAATGTACCAGTAGTGAGAGAATTTTCTGATGTATTTCTTGAGGATTTACCAGGATTGCCTCCGGTACGAGAAATAGACTTTGGTATTGATTTGCTACCTGACACACAGCCCATATCGATACCCCTATATCAAATGGCACCAGCAGAGTTGAGGGAGCTAAAGCAACAGTTACAAGATTTTCTAGATAAGAGTTTTATTAGACCTAGTGTATCACCATGGGTTGCACTAGTACTGTTCGTAAAGAAGAAAGACGGATCCCTGAGAATGTGCATTGACTACAGGCATTTGAACAAGATAAAAATACGCAATAAATATCATTTGCCTCGTATAGATGAAATGTTTGATAAGTTACAAGGAGCTGCCCACTTTTCAAAGATTGAACTCCATTCTGGTTATCGTCAACTTAGAATCAAAGATGATGATATTTCTAAGACTGCTTTTAGAACTCGATACGGGCACTATGAGTTTCTTGTGATGCCTTTCGGACTGACAAATGCTCCAGGTGCATTCATGGATTTAACGAATAGGGTGTTCAAGTCATTTCCGCATAGATTTGTAATAGTATTTATTGATGATATCTTGATATATTTTCGTAGCCAAGGAGAACACGAGCATCATCTCACGACTGTGTTGCATACATTGCAAGATCGGCTTTATGATAAGTTCTCAAAGTGTGAATTCTGGCTTGACTTTGTAGCATTTCTAGGGCATGTTATATCCAAAGATGGAATTATGGTAGATCCTAAGATGACATAAGCTGTACAGAAATCGCTCAGGCCTACTTCTCCTACAGAGATTCACAGCTTTTTAGGCTTAGCAGGCTATTACAGGCGTTTTGTGCAAGATTTCTCCAGAATAGCAGCGCCACTGACTAAGCTAACACAGAAAAATGCAAAGTTTCAATGGACGGAGGAATGTGACCAGAGCTTTCAAAAACTCAAACATGTTTGACAACTGCACCAATATTAGCCTTACCATCAGGTTCTGGAGGATTTACGGTGTTCTGTGATGCCGCGAGGGTAGGATTAGGATGTGTTCTCATGCAAAATGGTTGCGTTATTTCTAATGCTTCGAGACAATTGAAAAAGCATGAGCAAAACTATCCTACACATGATTTGGAGATGGTTACAGTGGTATTTGCTCTAAAAAATTTGAGGCATTACCTATATGGAAAATCTTGTGAGATTTATAATGACCATAAAAGTTTGAAGTATATCTTTCAGCAGAGAGATCTGAATCTTCGGCAGCGTTGGTGGATGGAACTACTCAAAGACTATGATTGTTCTATTTTATATCATCCTGAAAAAGCCAATGTGGTGGCTGATGCATTGAGCAAAAAATCTATTGGGAGTATGGTGCATATAGCCCCTACAAAGAGACATTTGGCCAAAGATATTTAGAGACTAGAAGATACATGTAACAGATCAGGCTATGTCTTCATTAGTTGAGCGCATTAAGGCCACCCAATATGAGGATGAACGATTATGCAAATACAGAGACGAGGCCAAAGCTTGTAAAAGCAGGGATATGATTGTTGAAAGTGATGGTGTTCTTCGAATGGGTGACAGGCTATGTGTAGCAAACGTAGATTGGTTGAGACATGCTATTCTTGAAGAAGCCCACAACTCTAAATACACTATACATCCTGGATCCACAAAAATGTACCATGACCTGAAGCAATTTTATTGGTGGGAGGTATGAAGAAAGATGTTGCTAACTTTGTTTCTAGTTGTTTGACTTGTCAGCATGTCAAGGCTGAGCATCAACGACCCGTAGGACTACTACAACAAATTGAGATTCCGAAGTGAAAATGGGAATGAATTACTATGGATTTTGTCATCGGGATACCACGAACCCTTAGAGGCTAAGACTCTGTATGGGGGATTGTAGATCGACTGACGAAATTAGCACCCCTATTGCCAGTAATGACTACGTATGGCACAGTGAGGTATACACAGATATTTATGAACGGAACTATCTGACTTTACGGAGTTCCAGTATCCATCATCTCTGATAGAGGATCAGAGTTCACTTCACGCTTTTGGAAATATTTTCAAGAAGCATTGGGTACACGAGTAGATCTTAGTACTACATTTTTCCACAGACAGACAGGCAGTCTGAACGTACTATACAGATCTTGGATGATATGTTGAGAGTTTGCATTGTTGAGTTTGGAGGTAGTTGGGACACTTATCTACCTTTAGCTAAATTTACTTACAACAATAGCTCCTAGTCCAGTATTCAAATGGCATCGTACGAAGCATTGTATGGTAGAAGATGTCGTTCTCCTATCGGATGGTTTGAGGCTGGTGAGATTAACTCATTGGGACCCGACCTAGTACAGAGATTGATTGTAGGTCAAAGTAGACAAAAGTCTTATGATGATAAGAGAAGAAGGGATTTAGTGTTCACAATTGGGGACCAAGTGGTCCTACGAGTCTCCCGTATGAAAGGTGTGATGCGGTTTGGGAAAAGAGGCAAGTTGAGCCCCAGGTTTATAGGACCGTATGAGATACTAGACCGAGTGGGAGCTGTGATTTACCGTTTGGCACTTCCTGTTGAGTTATCCTTTATTCACACAGTGTTTCATGTCTCAATGCTAAGAAAATGTATATTAGACTCATCTCAGGTGCTTGAAGCACCGACTATACCGCTCGATGAGAAGTTATCCTGCGAGGAGGAATCGATGGCCATTGTAGATAGGCAAGTAAGAAAGCTAGGGTCAAAAGAAATAGTGTTCGTGAAAGTCTTATGGAGAAATCATTCAGTTGAAGAAGCTACGTAGGAAGTAGAAGATACTATGCGAGTCAAGTATCCTCACTTATTTCAGTCTACAGGTACATACCAGACATAAATTCGGGGAACGAATTTCATAAGGTGGGCAGAATGTAATACCCTATATAATAATAAGGGTATATAAGTCTTCATAAATTTGGGTTGCAGTGCATTTCAGTGTTATCGATGTCCGTTTGGGATTTTGAGTCTGGGAATAGCTCCATATGGTGATTCTGGTATTGGGAGCGCGTGCAGAAGTGAATTTGGAGGTCCGTAGGTCATTTTGGAGTCATTTGGCTAAAGTTAGAAATTTGAAGGATTTGAGAAGTTTGACCGGGAGTGGACTTTTTTATTTCGGGGTCGAACTCCGATTCCAAAAGTTGGAGTAGGTCCGCAATGTCAAATATGACTTGTGTGCAAAAATTGAGGTCAATCGAACGTGATTTGATAGGTTTCGGCATCGAATGTAGAAGTTCCAAATTCTAAAGTTCATTAAGATTTTAGCATTGTTTGATGTGATTTGAGGCCTCGAGCAGGCCCACGTTATGTTATGGGACTTTTTGGTGTGATTATATGGTGTCACGGGGGCCTTGGATGGATTCCGGGTGGTTAACGGATTGATAATGGAATTTGCGGAAGGGCTGAAGCAGCTAGGCTTCCGGTGTAACCGCACCTACTTGAAGAGGGCCGCAGGTGCGGGCCCGCATGAGCAGGAAGGGACTCGCAGAAGCGTATTTTACTGGGGGGGGGGGTGCATGGACCGCAGATGCGGTCAAGGTCCGCAGAACCGGGACCACACCTGCATGCGTGGAGATGCAGAAGCGAATGGGAGCCGGAGATGCGGAGTTGAGGGGCCTGGTGAAAGACCACAGAAGTGGTAGTGGGGGCACACCTGCGAACCGCAGAAGCGGTCAAGTGATCGCAGGTGCGGAAATCGGGCTGGGCAGTGTGTTCGTTTAAAATGATGGTTTGGCTCATTTTCACCTTATTTCCTCCATGAGAGTCGGTCTTGGAGCGAGTTTGGAGTCCATTCTTCGTCATCAATATCAAGGTAAGTTATTCCTGCTTATTGTGAGCTAAATACACGATTTATATAGGGATTTAAATATGGAAATCAGTAGAAATTTGGACATTTGGTGGAAAAACCTAGAATTTGTATTGTAGATTTCAACCATGATTTTGGGCATGGAACTTGGAATAAAGTATATATTTGAGTTCGTGAGGTTAGGGGTAAAGTTTATCTTCGAAAAAATTCGGAATTCGGGCACGTGGCCCAAGGGTGATTTTTATCAACTTTTCGATCGGGGTGAGAAATTGTTATAAATTGGATTATAATGAGTATTCGAGCGTATACTAATGGGTTTGCATAATTATTGGCTAGCTATGGAGCGTTGAACATCGGTTTGAGTCGTCGGAAGGGCTTGGAAGCCGGTTATGGAACTTCAGAGCGAGGTGAGTCTCCTTTCTAACCTTGTAAAAGAGAATTAACCCCATAGATGAAATAATTAAATAGGTGCTCCTGTTTGTGGGGGCTACGTGCGCACGAGGTGACGAGAGTCCGTGCGTAGCTACTATTATGCCTATGTTCGGGTAGTTTTAGGCTACATCATGCCTTATTGATATTGTTGTTGATTTATGTTTACTCTTTGCCTTGAGAAGAAATAAGATTGAGGTTTGCCTAATAATTGTGTTGGAAGGAATTTAAATTGAGGAATTCAAGAATTTATGTGTTCCAATTAAACTTAATATTTTCAAAAAGAATTGAGGAATCTTATAATAACTGAAAAAATCTATGAGTAACCGTGTCGCATGTATGTTTCGCGTGCGGGGAAAATTACCTTAAAAGCTTCACGTTGAATTGTCTCTATTTTTGAAAAGAATCAAGAAAAGGATTTTGATTTATTAATAAATTTATATTTGACCGTGTCGCATGTATGATTCGCGAGCGGGGAAATACCTTAAATCTATATTTGACCGCGTCGCACATATGATTCGCAAGTGGGGTATTTCCTTCTACTACTCTCATGGGAGCAGGCCGATCGCCTCGGCAGGTTAATAGATGTATCTATGGTTCGCGCCATTCGACCCTCTTTGCAGTGCACAATTTACTTTTATGTTGAATCAGGTCGAATATATATATATACACTCATGGAATCGTGTGTGACATTTGGCTAGAAGACAGTGTATCTGAGGGTTTTTCCCTGATTTGAATTATGACAACTTCCTTAATGAACTCCACTACATCTATATATATGCTCCATTTACGGAGGGAAGTTGCTTGTTGAGAGCTTGAGTAAAATTATAAAGAGGGGAATTGCATCACGTGTTTAATACTTGTTTATTTCATATATTTACTCTGTTTCATGTTTATTTACTTGTACCCGATATTATTGGACCACTAGTAAGTGTCGGAGTCGACCTCTCGTCACTACTTCTTCGAGGTTAGACTGGATGCTTACTGGGTACGCGTTGTTTTCGTACTCATACTACACTTGCTGTGCATTCTTATTGCACAGGTACATGTATCTCTAGTGGCCTAGGGCGTAGCAGCATGGTTGGTACGGAGACTTAGGTGAGCTGCATCCCTCGAGACGACCCGCAGCCAGCAGAGTCTCTTTCAGAGTATTGTGTTTACTTTCTGTCCAAATTTGTATTCCGGACAATTATTGCACTTCATTTTATTTTCTAGTGATTACTCATGCACTTGTGACACCGGGTTCTGGGGTGATTATGGGATATTCAGTATTGAAAATTGTAAACAGTTTTGTTTATACTGTGATGGTTACTTTTTACTAGTTAAATTAAAAGAATTTATGGTTTCAAAAAAATTAAAATGAGAGTTTAATATTAATTATTTAATGTTGGCTTGCCTGATCGAGGTGTCCGGTGCAATCACGGCATTTAATGCATTTTGGGTCGTGACAATGTGGTTGTAATTTTTAGTCTATTGAGGTGATGTACTTCCACTCTTCAGTTTCTATGTAGCTAATTTGTATATACCAAGTACTAACTTTTTTCCTATATATAGCAAGTTCACTTTGGGTGAAAATCATAAGTTTTTTTCCAAAAAATAAGCTGCTAGGTTCAAGTCGTTTTCTGCCTTTTTCTCGTCTTTATTATCTTCTCATTATGTGGATGTTTTTCCATCAATTTGATCCCGGGAAGGAGAAGAGAAGGCAAAGGGGGAAGGGAGAAGATGAAAGTCGACATAATACATAACGTGTAAGATAAACTGTCATCAGTACGAGAGGCGTATCTAGAATTTAAGTTTTATGGGTTCAACGTGTAAAGTTTTTAGCATTAAACCCATTGTACTTTTTAACGTTAAGGGTTCATATTGCTATATATCGCAATATTATTGTATTTTACGCATAAATTTATACTCTCCGCTAAAAGTACTAGGTTTAGTTGAACCCGGTACCAATGCCTTGCATCCGCCTCTGATCAGTACAGCTAGAATACAAGTCTTGTGTTAGTTTATGTAGTAACTCATCTTTGGCAGGGGCGGAAGCCGAATCAGTAATTTCAATCCAAATCCTGTATTTATATTTAAAAATCTTACATACTGATAGGAACATGTGGAGGTCGAGCATTATGGTGGTAGGCTAGGGGGTAGTCGTGAGTTCTTCCCTCTTTGTACCGGGTAGTTTTTTAGAGTTTCGTTAGGTTTGTTAGCGGTCTTTGTTGTATCCACATTGGTGTTTTGCATAGTTTTGTGTTATTGACCTTTCACTTATTTGTTGTGGTTATTTTCTTTCTGGTCTTTTATTGTTACATGTCTTTTCTCTTATTTCTTTTCTGATATTATTGTCTTTCCTGTTGAGCCGAGAGTCTCCTGGAAACAGCCTTTCTGCCCTTTTCGGGGCAGGGTAAGGTCTGCGTACACTCTACTCTCCCCAGACCCCACTAGTGGGATTTTACTGGGTATATTGTTGTTGTTGTTGTTTATATACTGTATGTACAAAAATTAAATTCAAAACTCATGCGTAAAACCATTAAATTCAAAACTCATGCTTGATCCCTTTGCGCATCGCCTCAAGACTTGAGAACAAAACAAAGAAACATCATTATTAAGGCCAAATTACTCCAAGCTGGTCCAATACAAGTCAATGTTGAAATTATGGGACTTTGGTGCGTCACAAATCAAAACCCAAAAAATAAAAGTAAGAAGTACAAAAATGGTTCTGTTCGTTGCTACAGCTTCAACAGTGTGACTGTATGACTTTGAAAAAAAAGATGGTGTCATTTCGTATCTGAGGTCCCGAATTCCTCATAACATTAGAGGGGCGTTAATTGAAATGACGGGTTTCCTATCTGAAAAGACTGAAATGTTTGTGAAGCTTCAATTCTTCAAAACTCTTGACTAGAATATTGACAGAAAATACATTTTGGAGATTCGATATTACTTCTTTTTGCCTTAAATATATATACGTTGAAGTATACTGTCTAAAGCAAAAGTAAATTGGTGACATAGTAAATAAAATAAGTAATATACAATAATCAGTTAATTATTCTAATCTACACAGTTGTATTTAATCTGAACTTATTTTGTTTAAAATACTACGTCTACAGTTGCATAGTACCAAGCAGTAGAGTAGTGCTTGTGGTTACTTTCATGATAAAACAATGGAGTCACTCAGGGATGGAGCTAGAGGGGCAGAAGGAGGCTCATCTCAATTTTTTTTATCGAAAAATCACAGCTTAATTATATTTAAGATCAAAATTATTATTTTTATAGAGTAGATATTATATTGAATTGAAGAGATTTTTATCTCCCTATATTACATATGAAACTTTATTACTATATGGGTCAAAATCCAACTAGAGAAATTCGGCACGCGGAGACGATTGTCATGAGTGACCTGCAAATCAATATGGGCAGTTTGGCCGAGGTCGATCAGTGATCAACAACAAGCCACTGAGTGGTTCATCAGGGCCGAGGTCGAGCAGCATAGATAGAAGTAACGGCTAGTTTTGCTTTGGAATCTTTAGAGGGAATATTCTATTGAATATTCTCTCTATTTGTACTTTTTAGGGTTCTTTGTGAATATCCCATATAAATAGTGTGAGAGATAAGGCTAAAGGCATGTAATATTCTATATGATAAGAACACTTTTGAAAACTAAGCTCTCAAGATAAATACAAAGGATAACTTTCTAGAGAGATTAGACCTTTTTGGATTATCTATTGTCAGTTCCACCAGATCTGAGAAAGTGCTCAACATTCTCTTATATTCTTGTCATTCATCATTGTCAGAGGGAGGAATCATTCACCTCGTTCAATATTGGGTGAATCTTCCTCCTTATTTACATTTATTGCTATTGATTATTATTTAATACTTGATACTTCACACACATTATTACATTCGTTACGTTTATTGTTAGCACATTCTGTTTCTTCACTGCTCAAACCGTTCGTACTGTCAACTCAAGATCTAAAGTTATTAACTTTAACTAGGATTAACCCTTCTTAGTAAATGATAATTAGTTTAACCAAAGATTATCATTTTTTGGTCAAACAATTTGGCGTAGTCTGTGGGGATATTCTAGTTAAAATCTTAGTCTCTTTCAGATCTAAAAGAAAACCACACAAAACCTTGCATGTTCTTGCGTGCATAGTTGAACATGGCAGGTAATGGAGAGAAAAGAATGAAGGAAGTAGCCAGTCTTACTAACAACCTCCTAAAACACCATCAACGAAGTCGCTGGGACAGATGCTGAGGACGTGACACCAGACGCCTCCCCCAGGCGGAATGGTTCACCTCTCCCTCATGGCAGCATCACAGCCTCACACGGTAAAGGGGGCTCTACATCCACAACGGAAGAGGCACCACCAGCAGTGAAAACGCTGCTCGAGGCGTGGTTGACAAACACGCTGACTAGCATTCTCGACAAGCCCATCCAAAGGACGAACAGAGAAGATGCGAGAGTTTGCGTCGCACCAGCGACAGACGAGCAGCAAGGCCCTCCTCTTGTAACAGGTATTACTCACAATGTTAATGATGCAGGTAACGACACCCTCACAGCCATTTTGAGGAAGATGGAAGAGATGGAGAACGAGAACAAAATGCTCCGCGACCAAATGAAAGAGCATCAAGAAAGGGTAGACAAAATACCAGGCGCCCCAAAACTCTTACCAAAAAAGGATGCCGGCCGATTTGTTGAGCAACCGTACAGTGATGAAGCTGCACCACACGCCATAACTAAAACCTTCAAAATGCCGCCATACTTGAAAATATACGACGGCACGATGGACCCTGAGGATCATGTGACCCACTACGTCACCGCAGTAAAAGGCAACGACCTCGCAAAAGAACAAGTGTCTTCCATATTATTGAAGAAGTTTGGAGAAGCCCTCACCGGGGGAGCACTGACTTGGTACTCACAGCTACCTGCACGTTCCATAGAGACGTTCGAGGAAATGGCCGACAAGTTTGTAACTGTCCATGCCTGGGCTAAGAAAGCAGAGGCGAGGGTGAATGACATATTTGCCATTAAACAATCACCCGGTGAAGCACTAAGAGATTTCCTCGCCCGATTCAACCGTGTGAGAATGACCTTACCAAAATGTATCCGAGGGAATGGCAGTAGCAGCTTTCCAGAACGGGTTAAACAGGAACGGTTCGAGGGCGACCAGAAAAGTTAAGCCGACTCATGAAATATCCCCAAACCACTTGGGACGAGATACACAACGCCTACTGCGCCGAAGTGCGAGCTGACGGGGAAGACCTCAACGGGCCAACTCAACGACTAACCTCAATCCAAATGGAATCCAAAAAAGACCGAAGAAATGACAACAGAAGGGACCACGTAGGCCCGCGACCCAACCGTGAAAGACATCAACCATATGTTAGAGCCGCCGTCATACCACCTCCCCGTCATGGCGATGGCCCATCTAGGCCGCCAACAGGGACTCACCGAAGCGAAAAAGGTATGCCTCCACTACTATCTGCCCACAATTTCTGTGTTTCTCCCTCAGAAATAGTCTACGCCCTGGAGAAGCTCAGCCCAAAAATGAAGTGGCCGTAGAAGATGAGGTCCGACCCAAACACCAGAAAGTCAAACGCCCTCTTTGAATTCCAGGAACAGGGCCACAAAACCGAGGACTGTATCGCTCTAACGCAAGAGGTTGTGAACATGTTTCACCAAGGACATCTGAAAGAACTTTTGAGCGATCGAAGAAAGGCAAATTTTGCTCGAGGACGTGAACAGCATCAGGTCCACCAGAAGCGCCCTCCCCAACTCGAACCATCCAAATGATCATCGGGGGAGGCAACGACTCGTCAATCAACAACGTAAAATTCACAACCACCCACAAGCTGATACGGTCAATCACTCATGAACGGTATGACGAACACGAAGAGAGTATCATCTTCGATAAGTCGGATACCCACGGTTTGGTCTTTCCTCATTATGACGCCCTTGTTGTTACTTTACGCATCTTAGATATTGATGTAAAACATAATATGGTCGATGATGGGAGCGGCGCGTGCACTGTCCACCCTCAAGTTCTCAAACAAATGAAGCTCGAGGATAGGATAGTGCCACGCTGAATCACATTGATGGGTTTTAACAATGCAGTTGAGCAAACATCTGGAGAAATCATGCTACCCGTCTTGGCCGACGACGTCACTTTGGAGACCACATTCCACATCATGGACCAGGATACGGCATACAACGCCATAATTGGTCGGCCCTGGATACACACCATGAAAGTCGTCCCCTCCAGCTTATATCAAGTCATCAAATTCCTACCCCTTGGGGGGTATTCAGCATCCGAGGAGAGCAACGCACTGCCCGAGAGTGCTATCGCATCGCCTAAGACTGCAAACACACCCAACAATTGAAAGGCAAAGCCGAGGCCGCATAGCAATTAATAGGGTCGGGGTCAGGTGATGACGAAGGGAAAGATGTCATCAGAGACCCCAAAATTGTAGAGGCCACAGGGTCGACCGTAGAGGATCTCCACCCCGTACAACTCGACAAAGACGACCACAGCAAAAAAGCCTATGTCGGCCACAAACATTAGGAACCAAGTAAATTCCATCAATCTTTAGCTAACAACGCAGACTTGTTTGCCTTTTCCCATGCAGATATACCGGGCATCCCGAAAGAGATAGCAATACACAAGTTGAATGTCGACCCATTTTACCCCCCAGTGCGGCAAGTTAGGCAAAAATTCAACTCCGCAATAAATGATGCGGTCCACGGGGAGGTTGAAAAACTACTGGAAAACAGCTCTATCAGAGAATCAAAGTACCCTCAACGGGTCGTCAACATGGTCATGGTGAGAAAGAAAAATGGGAAATGACGGATGTGCGTAGACTTCACAGATCTGAACAAAGCCTGCCCGAAAGACTCATTCCCACTACCCATATTGACCAGATCATTGGCACAACTGCCGGGCACGAGCTATTAAGCTTCTTGGACGCCTACTCGGGCTACAATCAGATCCTCATGGAGGAGGAAGACCAAGAAAAGACCACTTTCATCACTCACCAGGGGACGTACTGCTACAGAGTGATGCCTTTCAGGCTGAAAAACGCGGGGGCGACGTATCAGAGGTTGATGACAAAAATGTTCAAAGACCAGCTCGGCAAAACCATCGAAGTCTACATCGACGACATGTTGTTCAAGTCAAAAAGGAAAGAGGATCACATCAACCACTTGAAAGAGGCCTTCGACATACTCAGACGATATGGTATGATATTGAACCCCAAAAAGTGCACCTTCGGCGTAACCTCGGGAAAGTTCCTCGGCTTCTTGGTATCACAACGAGGCATCAAGGTCAACCCCGACCAAATCAAAGCTATAGAAGGAATACCGGAGAACCTAACCAGTAAGAAATAGGCACAAAAGCTGACCAGCCACATAGCCACCCTATTGAGATTCATCTTACGGTCCTCCGATAGATTCCATAAATTTTTCGGCATACTCAAGAAAGACAATGGACTCCAATGGAACTCCGATTACGTCGAATCCTTGAAAGAATTAAAGACGTACCTATCTTCACCCCCGTTGCTCGCTAAGGCGGAACCTGGAGAACGTCTTCTCATTTACCTGGCCGTGTCCGATGTGGCTGTGAGTGCGGTCCTGGTTCGAGAAAACAAAGGTACACAATCCCCCATTTATTATATTAGCAAAACTTTGGTTGACGCCGAAACGAGGTACCCACACCTCGAGAAGCTAGCCCTGGCTTTGGTCGTAGCTTCACGAAAGCTTAGACCCTATTTCCAGTGTCACCTCATCTCGGTGTTCACGACCTTTCCCCTAAGGAGTATTTTGCACAAACCTGAGCTTTCGGGCAGGTTGGCCAAATGGGCCATAGAATTGAGCGAGCATGATATAACCTATTAACCACGAACAGTGATAAAGTCGCAAGTGCTCGCCGACTTCGTTGCCAACTTCAGCACAAAAATAATGCCTGAAGTCGAAAAGGAAGCCGCCCATACCTCCCCCAGAATACACGGCCTATGGGTTTTATATAACGATGGCGCCTCTAACGCATCGGGATCGGGACTTGGACTCGTGCTCGAGGTCCCAACAAGCGAAGTAATTTGCCAGTCCATAAGATGCCCAGATATAACTAACAACGAAGCTGAGTAAGAGGCCGTGATTGCAGGGCTAAAGTTAGCACTCAAGTACGGAGCGAAGCGAGTTATCCTACGATGCGACTCTCAGCTCATCGTCAATCAAGTCACAGGGACTTTCTAAATCAAGGAACAAAAACTACAAAAATACCAGGCAGAGATCTGCAAGTTGTTACCTGAGTTCGATGAATTCCACCTCGACCAAATCCCTCGAGCATAGAATATCGAAGTAGATGGCCTTGCCAAACTGGCAGCGGCTACTAAAAGCATAACCGGAGAAGGGAACATGGTCACTCTCCTCCACTCGTCGATCGATCAAATCGAGGTACGAACAATAAACCTAACTTGGGACTGGCGCAATCGTATTATCACATATTTGCAGGACGGAGTAGTTCCAGATGATAAGAAAGAAGCCAAGAAGCTTCGAATGCAGGCGGCTAGGTACAGCGTCATCAACAACGACTTGTACAAAAGAATGTATAGCGGCCCCCTAGCAAAATGCTTAGACCCAAACCAGACGCAATGCGTTCTGGAGGAAGTCCACGATAGTCAGTGTGGAGCTCACACCGGCAATTGAGCCCTAGTCAGATGCCTTATACGAGTAGGCTACTACTGGCCCACAATGAAAAAAGAGGCCGCCGACTTTGTAAAAAAATGCGAACAATGCCAAAGATACGCCCCCATGATCCACCAAGCGGGCGAGCACCTCCACTCAGTCACCTCGCCTTGGCCTTTATTCAAATAGGGGATGGACATTGTCGGACCCCTCCCGGCGGGACGAGGTAATGTACGATTTCTTTTAGTTTTAACTGACTATTTTTTCAAGTGGGTGGAAGCAGGTGCATTCGCCCAAATACGCGAGCAAGAAGTGATCGCCTTCATATGGAGGAATATCTTGTGCCGTTTCGGCCTCCCCAAAGAAATCAGTTGTGACAACGGGCCTCAATTCACTGGAAAAAAGATCGCCGAGTTCTTCGAGAAATGGCATATCAAAAGAATACTTTCCACGTCATATTATCCCGCGGGCAATGGGCAAGCGGAGTCCTCCAACATGTCAATATTGAATATCATGAAGAAGAAGCTCGAGAACGCCAAGGGATTGTGGCCGGAGTTGCTACCGGAAGTGCTATGGGCATACCACACAACGCCAAAAACAAGCAACACCGTATTCACTAGTCTATGGGACCGATGCAGCAATACCGGTCGAGGTCGGAGAACCAAGTCTAAGGTACTCACATGAAAGCAGGCCGAGAAACGACGAAAGCAGGAGGCAAGACTGATGTCGCCCAAACTCACACCACTAATTGGGATTATGAGGTGGTCGATGCAATTACAAATACCCAACGCGTGTCGGGGTCGATTCCACAGAGAGCTTTATATGGGATTAGGTATATACCAAGTCTAGTGTATGACGTTCCCAAGATTGCACTTCCACATATTCAGTTGTTTCTTTTCTACTTCTAATTTATATGCTAATGCTTGCAATTGAAAAGTTAAGAGACGATGTTTTTGGTATTGTTATTTTTCAAGTTTATTAAAGATCTAGGGTCTTGACTTCCACCTAGGTGGTTACCTAATGGATTATAGGCTATAGGGCAAGTTTGTTTGGTCGGGGTAGTAATATAGCAATCACACGCAATTACCCACTCAATACCTCTCGGTAGTTAGAGTGATTTTGCCCACTTTGGCTTTCTCAAGTCCAAATGGGTATTGCGCAAAACAAGTGATAAATGCTCAAATCGGGTCTTACTATCTCTAGATTCAACCCTTTAATTGGGGCTATCAATTTCTTGAGTTTACCCCAATTCCTTGTTAGCCAAGTTTTCCTAGACTTAGTCTCTCTTTCTCAAGTACAGACTAAGTCAACTAGGCATGAATCAATGTTTGCAACCATCAATTCTCAAATTCAAGCAAGAACAAGGCTAAATATCACTAACCCAATCACAAACAAGTCCTAAATAAAACACCCATTAAGTACCCACACTAGGGTTGGGTCACAACCCTAGCTAGAAATTTAGCTACTCATGGAAAATGAAGAAATTAAAGAAGAAACTAA